GATTTAAAAGACCATGAGCCCATGTCAGTGCCAGAGGATTCTGCAATTAGAACTGTCATCCTACAGAACTCTTCTCAGGAACACCGTCCCCTGCCCAAACTCCAGCAAGATTATTCTGTCTTCGTGAATCCCTTTTAGCCATTCACCTAGAAGGAGTGTTCAGTTCAGTATAGAACTAGACATTCTTCCTATCTGAAGCAAAGTAGACTCAGTAAATAGTATTCAGGAACTTTTGAGAAAAGAAATGAGGTCAAATATTTCTATGCTTTGTTTATATTATCGTTACTATAAAAGAGGGCAGTTATGATGTATAAAGAGAATCTATGGTTCAGGTTTATTGTGATGTATTTTTCTCAGCAATTTGATAAAAACAAACCATTAAACTCTTACCTTCCTTTGGGGTTAAGACTAACAGCATGTGCATTCTCTGCTGTTAGTCCTGTCTGTGGGTCCTGTTCGGGCTCAGAGACTGGGGAGGGTAATAAGATTATAAAACATGCCTCTTGCTTGCCAGCTACTACGTGCTGATAATAATAGTAGCCATAATTCACCAGAGTCCTGGATTTTTTAGGTTTTACTTGGTTTATTTGTTTAATTTAAAGGAATTAAAAATCTAAAGAAACAAGGTAACATTGCAAAAAGGAAAAAATAAATGCCCCTTGAGCAGAACTGAACAGTTCTAATTTGTTTACAGCTTCTGTCCCTCAGTAGTGCTTTGCTCTTTTCTTTTCACTGGTGGTGAGGGGCTGAGCCAAGGTTATCAGGTTAGTTTAAAGCTGAGTTTCTCAACCTTGGCACTACCAAGATGTTGGGCTGGATACTTTGTCGTGTGGGGGACTGTCCTGCACATTGTGGGAAGATGTCACCTGGCCTTTGCCACGAGATACCAGGAGTACTCCCCTCCCCCCAGCTGTGACAATCCAAATTATATTGTTGATGTTGTGTGCAGTACAAATATGAAATCCAACCATTATGTACAACTGTAGTGCACCAATGGGAAACATGGGGCAGGGGAGCGAGAAAATGTCTCCATACAGTCAGAAGTTCCCCAGGGACCAGGTTGCCCCCCATGGAGAATTATGGGTTTAAGGTAAAACAGGTTTCAAAGTCTTCATTATTTACCCATTTTGTCTAAACCAAAAGTAGCAGAATTGTGATTTTTTTTTTCAGTTAGAAGGGAGCAGATAGCAATTTAAAGTTTTAGATAGTATCATACTGTACCTTTTCCTGAGCTTTCTGGGTGAATTGCAGTTCAGGTATAACTTTATGTTTCAGAGATATACACATGCACTTAGAAACATACAGGGCCATGCTTCTTTATGTGTGGGTAGTCATGTGGGTGTTGTTTGTGGATTATTCTTTGTGTTGGATGGAGCTGAATGATTCATAACCTCAGTAAGTTCACATTTTAATGACATCAAATGGAGTCTGACCCTTTGTATCTTTTCTTCTTTTGCTGGAAGTTTTCTGTAGCTCAGTGATCTTTTGGATTTGTTGGGGAAATTGAATGAATATGAAGAACTCAATTCTTAGTTTCAAATAATTCTTGTAATTTGATGCTTTCTAAAAATATAGAAAGGGAATTATGGGGGTATTAGCATATGCATACATTTGAAGTTGTTTTTTTTATTTTCCAGCAAGTTACTTTTTAAAAAAGAACTCTTATCATTTATCTTTCTTCTCAGATAAAATATACACAGTGGGATTGGCACTGTCACACTTGACCTTTTGCATTTTTAAAGTAATACAAGGAATATTGTGATTTCATACTTCTCAGATGTTTAGAGATATGTTGATAATTTTAGAGTATTGCTTTTCAATCTTCATGACATTTTAGAATTAATTACTTGGGAAGCATTGGAAAGATCCAGGGTCCAGGCCACACCCCAGACCAATTAAATCAGATTTTCTAGGGTTAGAACCCAGACTCTCAGTACAGGGTGAAGGAGAGCCCTTTTTGTAGTGAGACTCAAGGTTAAGAATTAGTGCACATATTTCTGAAGTTTTATTGGAACACAGCCAATTGATTTGCCAGTTGCCTACAGGGGACTTGCAAAGCCTAAAATATTTACTATTTGATCATTTACAGCAAAAAGTTTGCTGACCCCTGATTTGGGTTTACAGTGAACATTTTTCAAACATTTTAAACAGATTAGTAGAAACTTTCATAGTAAAAGGAAAATATAGAGCATTTTGCAGGGCCTTGCAGGCTTGAGACCTTTCCTTGTATAGAGGGAAAACTGAAAAGCAGCTGGCCTGTCCTGGCACATAACTGTAATCCTCGTGACTCTAGAGGCTGAGGCAGGAGAGACACAAATTTGAGGTCAACCTGGGCAATTCAGCAAGACTCTGTCTCAAAATCAAAAGGGATGGGTGTGTAGCTCAGTGATAGAGTGCCTCTGAGTTTCATTCCCAGTACCTAAAATGACACCCCCCGCCCCACACACACACATACACACACACACACACAAAACCTGAAACTTATTTTCCTTGAATGACTGACATGCACTCAGATGAGACTAGCTCCCCACCCAGAGTGGGGACGCCCTGATATTCATACCAGGGTGTTCTGTACTCTTTTGTTAGTCCCTTGTTGCTAACTTCGTGCTTACTGCTCAGACTGCATAACTGACCTGATGGAAGTCTGGAGACAGAAATAGTTCTTTAAGATGTGCTTGAGTTTCTTATTACCATTGCAACACTTCAGGAAGATGCAAGAGCCCTGAAAAAAATTGTTGATGCTTTGGGAACTTTTACAGGTAAAAGAAAAATAATAAAAGCAAAAGAATGCCACTTGCCATGATTTTCGCCCTATCCCACTTCCATTGGAAACTTGGTGGTTATAAGCAGTTTGCTAAAGAATTTTTTAGAACATTGGTTCTGGGCTCCTAAGTAAGAGAGAAAGTATCATTTTTCAAGCTCTTAGTCATCAGAGTGAATCCGCTTCTCTGGGATTGCTTGTGAGGCAATCAGGCCCTACCCAGTCCTAGCACACTGACTCTGCACTTAACAGATCCCCATGCCGGTTCAGGGAGTGCTGGGGAGCACTGGTCTAATTGGGAACCTAGTTTGTTTGTGTAGTAAACTGCTACCATTGATTGTCCTCCCTCTTGAATGATTTCATAGCTCCCTAATGGGCCCTCCTGACCTGGGCACTCTCGTTAGGGTGGCAGGCAGTTCTTGGCCTTGGGCTATTTTCCAAGTACAGCTTGCTTTGACCTCCTATTTGGTGAAGATTTATATGACAGAAGAAAATGGAAATGCAATGATTGGCCTAGAAAAGATGCCACTGTATATATTTTGAAAAACAAAAAGAATAAGAGTAGTTTGTTCATTGAAACTTCATTTGAAAGGAAATAAACACCTGTAATGAAGTCATTTCTGCTTCTCCAAGGGGTGGGAATCCACCCCTCAGAGCATGCATTTGAACTGGGAAAATCAAACATGAATCCTTCAAGCATCTCAAAGTATCATACAGAAATCAGGAACTTTCCACCAAACATTCCATAGTATTCAAAATGCACTCAGACCACGGTGACTCTCATGAGAAATTATCAGAATTTAGATATTCATAGAAAATCTCCAGGAAGCCCAGAAACTAATTTTACCTGCCAGGTATGTTAAGTTAGCATACAGTTGACTTAAAAACACCATTTTTGAAATTAGTTCTTAATTCTGATCATGATTAGTTTATCTTTAGACATTTCCTTAGAAAGACTGTTATTTAAAAGTGGCTGTCATCTACAGGCTAGGAGTGTACACTAGTGGTAGAGTGCTTGCTTAGGATACACAAGGTCCAGGGGTTGATCCCCAGCAAATAAATAAGTAAATGCAGTACCATCCAAATTTAATTTTTAAAGGCAATATAAATCATCCAGCTCTGCTCTTGTCATGAAGATATGATCATGAGTTGAATGCCTAGTAGCTGTACCAGCTTCCATGCAGGAAACAATTCTAGATGTTGGCATAAGTGCCCCCTCTGTAATCATCAGAAGCACTGGAAAAACTGAAGTTGGGGCCCTGTCTATCATCAGAAGGATTTTTCCAGTCATCAGAAGGACTGGAAAAACTGAAGTTAGGTCACATCTCCTGAGATTTGAAGGAAGAGATCAGGAAGCAATGGAGAACTGCTCTTTACATAAAAGGTACCCAGAGTCCCAAAGACAGGATCTGGTTTCCAGAAAAATGTGTGACTGCCAGGCCTGTGTGTCAGCTGCCAACGCTCCTGGATGGGTAGCTTGTGCTTCCCTGCTGCCTTCCCATCCCCACTCTTTTGTGGTCACTAGCAAAATCCAGATCCCTTCTTAATCCAGATCCCTTACCTCTCTCCTTTGCTACAGGGAACAGCATAGAAGGAGGTGGGCGTGGACGCTGACTGACAGGACCCAGCATGGCATCCCCCTGGGGACAGCTTACCCCTGTGCTTGGTTTCCATGTTGTTGTTTACAGTCTTCGAAAGGCGTCCTTATATGAATAGTATAAGGTAACCAAGGCCAGGTGCCATTTTTACCCAGAAGGAAACATGAAGAAGGTCAAAGCAGCTCAGTAGCCTTCCAGTAGGTGTGTTGGCTCCTGAGCATGGCTCTCCCCGCTCTACCACCCTGTTTTCTTTAGTACTTGTTAACTGAGCATCATATAACCCACATGGAATTTTTGGGGTGCTTTTTGAGGGGACCCAAAGATAGGAAAGTCACCTTGAGGGTACACAGTTCTAGTTTTTAAAAAATATTTATTTATTCATTTATCCTAATTAGGTATATATAACAGCAGAATGCATTTTGATTCATTGTACACAACTGCAGCACAACTTTTCATTTCTCTGGCTGTATAAGATGTAGTGTTGCACCATATGTGTAGTCATAGGCACACTAGGGTAATGATGTCCGTCTAGTTCCACGATCTTTCCTGCCCCCATACCCACTCTCCTCCCCTCTTTTTTTTTTTAATAATTGTAAAATGCAACTTTGGTCTTATTGTGTTCTTTCTTTTTTCTTAAGCAGATGAAAAACTCGGAGAATCGCCATGCAGTGAGTTCCCAGTACAGGATGCATTCTTACTATGGGCCTCCCTCCTACCTGGGCCAGAGTGTGTCCCAAATCTTCACCTTTGAGGATGGCCCTTCCTACTCGGAAGCCAAATCGAGTGGTAGGTGTCTGCTCTCAGGCTGGCTTTGGGGGTGGGGAGAGGATGTGCAGCCAACATGGGGGGTCCTAACCTCTCTGATGGCTGATATCTGTTAGGAACTGTTGGGAAGTTCCTTGTGTGTGAAGCTGAGATAACTATCCTTTAAAGTATTTAGCAATGGATTGATTTTTGCTTTGCTTGATTTTTTAATATGATAATTTTTTCTGAGTACAACAGTAAGATGTGAAACTTCTATTCAAAAGCTAAAAATGTATTTTCTACAGGCTCAGCGTGCAACAGGGTAACTCCTGTTGGTGGTGGCTGTGCTGGGAATCAGACTCGGGGCCTTGTCCCTTCTAGGCAAGTGCTCTACCACTGAGGGTACACAGGGATACTTTAAATGTGGTTCAAGTCTCAGGATTTTTTCTTGAAGTGAATTTCTGAATACTGAATACTTGTTTTCCAAAGATTTTCATTTTAAAATGTGAAGGTGTATTCATCTTTTGGGGGGAAAATAAAATAACATAATAAAACATTTTTTAATACAGTCAATCTCAGAGTTTATGCAGTAGCAATGCAAATAACTCTGATATAATGGCTTTAAAATAAAAAATGACTGTTTAATGAACCAAAGCACTTTGAAGTACACAATTCCTCAACTTCACTTTTAACCTTCTCCCCAACATTTATGCTATGATGATAGGCAGGTCTTTTATGGCTGCTGTTTCCAGATGCTGTTTTTAAGTCCTTTATATTTATGCATCATCTTTTGATTTAGAAAATTGAGAAGCAAACACAGTTGAGGCAGTAAGTGGAAATCAGGGCCTTAGTGAGTGATTGGAAGAGACACTGATTTTTCAACGCTTACTCTATAATAAATAAAAGGAGAAGTTTGGTTTCCAAATAACTTGACTATGGAGATCATATTTGTTTGCAGAGCAGACGTTTTGAGAATCAGAAACATGCCTTGATTTTAAAAATCAGAACAATAAAATCTTAAAAAGCTGGGCAAGTTATGCTTTATTTGCTATATTAAAATAAAATATTGGCTTCCATGCCCATCTGCCTACCTTATGTATAAATATTGAAAGTTATGTCAAGCTAAAGATGTTAAATGATAAATAAAATATTTTAAAAATGGTGGCTTCTATTAATATAGAATACATAAGTCAGGGGAGCTAATTTGAGCTGTAGAGACTGAAGTATACATTGCCGATTGCAGTTTCATTTTTATTAATAATCATTCTTTTGGGAGTGGGCAAGCATACCTCTACTTCATAAACATTCATTTTGTGTGCTCTATGCCCTATGGTCCTTCTTGCATGCTGCCTTGGATTCTGTATAAAATCTGGATCATAAGCTACTTGAGGACAGAGGACTCATCTCATATGCCTTTTTACTTGCTATGATGACTTGTTTGCTGCTTATTGGTTGAGCAAATGGATGAGTGACTGACACATTTTTGAGTGAGCTTTCTCTGTAAGGAACCCAGACATAAAAAGTTCAGAAGCCTCCTGCATTGCTTGTCAGATGGAGCCAGTGAGCAGTTTGGGTTTGAAGCAGTTAAAGAAACGTTTGTTCAGATAGAAAATTAAAACTGAAACCCACTTGTAGGAAGAAATTGCTTGAGCTTCTTACTCCAGGAATAATGGAGTATATTTAGAAGCACTGGCATTCTGGAGACAAAGGTGTAAATTCAGAGCAGGGCAGTAAGACAAAAATATAAGAGGCAATTTATTAGAGCAGAGAAGAAGGAACTTGGAGAAGAGCAGTAGGCATGGGAATTTATGGCAGAAAAAGAAGCGACCAGGAGGAAAGAGGTTACAGTCCAGGAAAGTGAGGCCAGCATAGCAGTGCTCAGAGGGGAAAACTACTGGAATTTCTTACAGCTTTTCCAGGGACGTATAGAATTGAACACATGGGTGTGAGAAGGCCCCAGGTTTGACTGCTTGGGACCCTCTGACTCCATTGCAGTTCATCTGGAGCTCGAGCTATGGGAATGAGTGGGTTAGCCAGGAAGAGCTACAGTGAAATCTCAGTAAATATTTACTTTGGAATTACTATGGATAAAGAGAATATGAATTAATAGGACATCAAGTCCCAGCTAATTTTTGAAAGAAATGTGGCTTTATAACTTCTAAAGATGTGCTGTCTTCGGGTGCAGTGCATGGCATTTGAACAGAGCAGATGGGAATGGAAAGGGAAAATTGTGTTTGGGGACAAGAATGCCCAGTAGACCATCTTTAGGGACATGGGATTCTATTTCATCTTCAGCATTGACAGAGTGGGGAGAACTTTGGGGCAAGTTAGGCCCTTTGTTAAGTGGGGCTGAGGTGGGGAGGGGTGGGGTGGGATGAGGGACATCATTATACTTACTCATGAGAAATTCAGGAAGGCTGGCTGATTTACCAGTGCCTTTTAGCAGTCCAAGTTCCTTTGGTTGCTTGCTTTAACAAATAGGTTATAATTTCAAAGAAGTAAATCAATTATTTTAAGGGGAACTTCTAAATGATTTGAAGAACATTTTTTAAATAGATAATGTTTTCTTTAAAATCCTATTTGAGTATAAATGTGTCTCTTAAATCCATGTTTCTTCAGTTTTTTTAAAGGTAAATGTAAGCTTAGCTTCTCTTCAGCATCTGAATAAATGAATCTGACTACAGTGTTTTCCTCTGATTTTGCTGAAATTGGTAACATGAAAATAGAACGTTAAGGGGGAAAGATTCACAGGAGAAGTTTTCCTTTTCCCTCTTCACATTTTTTTTAAATAAACAAAATTTGCACCATTCCCTCTCTTTTCCATATCCTGCAAAGTGTCAATGGTTGGATCAGAGAGATGTGGGCTGGGTCCTGTAGAAGCCACTGAAACTAAGTGAGATGAGAAGCAATTATAGGATTTTTAGCAGATGTTGACATGTCCTGCTTGTGGTTTTTAGAGTTGGCCCTGACTACTGTTTAAGAGTGGACCATAGGGATGCAAAGGTAGAAACAGGGAGACCAGTTAGAAGGCAGTCACTCTAGCAAAAGATGATCTTGGCTTAGTGTGGGAGCAAGGTGGTGATGACAAGTGGTTGAATTCTGGATATGTTCAGAAGACAGAACAGACAAAATTTGCAGATGGGATTGGGATACAACAGAAGGAAAGGAAGTGGAGGACGACTTCATGTTTTTGACCTGATCAAGTAGAAGATTGAAGTCTCCATTTTTTTGAGGTAAAAGACCATGGGAAAAAAGAGGTTGGTGGGAATTAGAAGATTTTTTTTCCTGCAGTGTTGTAAATTGAACCCAGGGCCTTACACATGCTAAACAAACACTCTGCTACTGAACTATGTTCCTAGATCCTATGAGATTAATTTGTATATGTTAGATTTGGAATATCCATGAGGCACCCAGGTAGATTGTTAGGTGGGAGCTGGATATTGAGAGGAATATCCTGCTGGAAATGAAAATTTTGAGAATTTGACGATGCATTGATGTTAGTGTGATCCATCACCTAGAGAAATAGATGTAAATGGAAAGTAAAGAACCAAGGCTGAATCTGGAGCCCTCCTGCATTTAGTGTTCTGATGGATGGGGAGCACCAGCAATGGAGAGGGCATTGAGGAGCACCTAATGAGGAAGCAAGAAACTGCAGGGGAGTGGTGTCTGCAAGCCAGGTGAAGACAGTGTTTCAATGAGCAGAGCCAAACAGACTGACAGGTCAAGAGAGACGAGCACTGGAATTGACCATTGGCTGTTGCCAGGTGGAAATGATGGATGACCTCATTAAGTGGTTGCTTTTGTGGGGAGGTGGGGACCAAAGCCTGATTGTATATTAGTAGTGCATGGGACAGAAGAACAGGGGCAGTGAGTACAGACAGCTCTTCAGGGAGTTTCCCCAAAAGGGAAGTGGTGAGATGGGCAGTCACTAGAGGGGAGAGGAGATTGATAGGTGTGTGTGTGTGTGTATGTGTGTGTGTTTGTTGATAAGAGTGATGCAGTTGAGGGGAAAACTTGCTGATACAGCTGATGTGTGGGGACACAATTGCTCTAGCAGTGTCCCTGAGTAGGCAAGACAGGATGGGACACAGGGCGGTGGTGGGTCTTGCTGGTGCTTTGTTAATCGTCCAAGAGAAGAGATGAGTAAAGGAATTGAAAATAAATGGAAATTTCATAGCAGTTTGATGAAGCAAGTTTATATCCAGTGAGCCTAATAAAAAACTGGGGCTTGTATTTTTTTGCCTTTCATTTTTTTTATTGAGGTAAAATACACCTAACACAGAATCATCATTAAACATTTTAAAGTACACAGTTCAGTGGCATTTGGTATATTCACAGTGTTGGGCAACCATCACTTCTGTCCAGTTACAAGTCTCTCATCCACCCCAGGAGGAGGCCTTGTACCCATGAGGCAGTTATTCTCCTTTCCTGAAGCCTCTGGAAACCACTAATCTGCTTTCTGGACAAGCATTCTACCACTGAGCCACATCCCAGCCTCCTCTAAAATGCTTCCTATCTAGATTTAGCTATTCTGGATTTCATGTAAATGGAATTATCTAGTATGTGGCTTTTTTTCTTTTATTTGTTCTTTTAAGATATGCATGACAGTAGAATGTATTTTGGCATATTATACATACATGGAGTATAACTTATTCTAATTAGAATCTAACTCTTATGGTTGTACATGATGCAGAGTTACCCTGGTCATGTATTCAAATACAAGAATAGGAAAGTTATGCCTGATTCATTCTGCTATCCTTCCTATTCCCTTCCTCTTTTCCTTTTTTTCATTCCCCTTTATCTAATCCAGTGGACTTCTATTTTTCCCCTCCCCATCCTCCCTTGTGGATTAGGAAGTACATACCAGAGAAGTGGTATGTGGCCTTTGTGTCTGACTTCTTTCTCTAAGCCTAATGTTTTCATGGTCCATCTAAATAGATCAATACTACATTCCTTTTTATGGCTAATATTCTATGATATGGATAGATCTCATTTGTTTATTAGTTAATGGACATTTGAGTTCATTCCATCGCTTGGCTGTT